CATCTGCACCAGCAGGAGTATGCGTGGGAGGTGCCTGTCAACTGGCACAGGAGAGACAAATGGCAGCAACCAGGGTCTGGCCGCAGCGGTCGGGGTTCTTTTAGCCACCAGGTGTTTGTCAAAAATAGCAGAATGTGGCATGATGAGATTTTCATCGCTTTGATTCCCTGTCCCTTTTCTCCTCTTAAAAAAACCAGGTGTGATGTCTTAAATCTCCCTCTCAACCCAGTGCTGAAAACACGGCAGTATGACTGAAGACGCCCACGGCCGTCGCCCCGAAAGGTGAAGAGTTTCGCCTGATCTGCGTGTTTCCCCGTGCTGCACGCGTAGCCACCCGTGGGACACCCCCGTCCATGTTGTGCATCCTATCTGCTGTCTCCAGCAGCATCGTTACTCTGTGCTGTCTGTATCCCCGTCACGGAGCTGAAACCTCTCTGTACTGATCTAAATTTACCGTCTGTCCCACGCACCCGTCTAAAAATCGGCGGTGACCGACCTTTCGAGGCAGCAGCACTGATGCTGTGGAATGCCATGACTGCACCTTGAAGCTCGCTGATTCTGTGATTATTTATCATATTAATAATAATAATAATAGTAATAATGATAATCGTTATTTATATAGCACTTTTCATACATGAAATGCAGCTCAAAGTGTTTCACATGTTAGATTAAAACAAAGACGGAGAAACAACTGATGTGGAGGCCAATGAAGAGGAATAAATGAGCAATAAAGGCTAAACAAATAAACAAAATACATTGAAAAATAAAGGAATGCAAGGGATAAAGTTATAAAAATATAAGCTAGTAAAAAGTAGAAATAATTAATATTGTATTTTATGGATATTGTATAAAGGACTTGTGAGATGATAATCTGATTAGTTTAATAAGCCCCTGAGTTAATAGCAACCAGGTTTTTAAGGACCTGATAGTTTATAATTGAAGAAAAGGAAATAAACATTTTACTTCATGACTTGTGATCAGGCTGGGTGGGCTCTCTACAGGACAGGCCAGATGCCCCCCCACTAAAGGCCACAGTCCAAGTGCTGTTAAGAGCCCAGTGGAAGTGGAGTTGGGCCCCACAGAATCACTGTCTGCCCCACTGGTTTTTCTGGGACTCTGGGGCTCCCTGCAACAAGAATAATGAAAAACTCCCCACAAAATAAAAACATTTTATCAGTCGACTTCATTCCACTTCAAACAAAAGCCAAGTTCCAAACGTTTCATTTGTTATCAGCATGCAGAGTCTGCTGGCGTGTATGTTTGTGTGTCTTACAGCTTGGGGGGAGGGAAAGGGGCCGGGGGGAGGGGTGAGAGAGCAGGGCTGCCTCAGTGACCACCCTGACAGTAACAGTAATATACCTCTCAAAGCACTGGGGGAGGACCCCAAGAACATTCCGGAACCCCTGCTGTGCATCAGCGCCATGGAGCAGACTGATAAAGCCCATCACCACCGTGGCTGAGAGATCGGGCCAATCGCAGCGCTGTTCCTGCCAATGAGGGGAAGGACACGGCAGGGCCCAGGACAGGAAAGCCAGGCTGTAACCCGGACATCACAGTCCGGAAGTCACAGAGACGTGACCGTTAGCGCAGCCTCTCTCAGCCAGTAACACCGGTGCTTGACTGTTTCACTGCTTTTTTTTTTTTTACCATAATTCTTTTTCGGATGTCATTAATTGTCAGGGGCACTGAGTTCTCTTCTGGTTGAGTGGGGGGGTAATGAGCTCCTGGCCCAGGGTGAGAATTTGACCCACACGGCCTCCTGGATGCTGATCATGGAGTTCCAGGTGGTTAGACTCTGCCCCCCCCCAAACCGGGGCAGAAGTGGTACAGTCCTGCTCATGCCCCGGACACGTGTGTGCACCCTTCTTCGCGCGGCAGTCTCACCTCCGCCTCCATCTCTTTCTCTATTTTTGCTACTCATTTTTTCCCCCTTTACCATACTATTTTTCATCCTTTCTTGCTTTCTCTTACAGAGGGAAGGGCCCCGAACGATGACTACTCCTCTTCGTCTCTCTCGCCAAGTAACGCTCAACAAAGCACACGCAAAGCACACGCAAAGCACACGCAAAGCACACGCAAAGCCCGGCCACAAGCCGACAGAGAACCTCAGAACAGACGTTGCCTGCAGTAGAAGAAGTGCTTTTGGCATGAAGGTGAATGCTGGTAATACACAACTCAGCTACCAACAGGGACCGAGAAGCTGAGGAGGGGGACAAAATGAACCCCCTCTCT